TTGTGTTTATGTTTGGTATTAGATGAGAGGCTGGATTAAAGTCGGGGCCCTGTGCAATAGTTACAGTGGGAGTTTCAATAAAGAGCGAAGAGAGTTGGTTAAGATGTGGGGCAGGTACAGATGTGGGAGATGTGAAGAGAATACTAAAGCCTGAAGGTGTGAGAGCTGTGTAGAGCGAGGCGTAGCCTGTGATTCTGGAAGCCTCAAGAAGGAGCAGAGCGGAGCAGTTGCCACATGCAGGCATGAAGGCCAACCTAGGACAGTGAGGTCAAGTTGTTTAGAGAGGAAGGCAATAGGACATGGATCTGGCTCCTATGTAAGAACTCCAACTGCACAACCCTGAATTTCAGCAGTGTACAGTATAAGGAAAAGGGTTAGGATGAGTTGGGGAGAGCTGGTGTGGGAGCAGTTTCTAGAGCTGTCTTTAAAGAGCAAAAGGAGGAGTGAGGAATGGATTTAGAATCCATGGGGTCAGATCAGTTTCCCTTGGTGAGCTTATACAGAAGTTTAGTTAGAATGGCAAAAGTATCTGACCACACCTAGGAAGGAGAGGAGCTGCTGTTTGGTAGAGGGGTTGGGGTTGAGGAGATTAACTGGGTACAGGTGGTGGGGGAAGCACGGGTGTTTTGTTGGAGGATGATCCCAGAGAGGTGACAGATGGAGAAGAAATCTGGGCCTCAGAAGGGGAACGTGATATCACTTTAAGAACAGGTGCAGAGAAGCTTCATGAGAGGGGCTGCACAGTAGGAAGTCATCCGCATACTGAATAAGGTGAGAAGCTGAGGGACAGAAAGAGAGCAGGTCGTGAGCAAGGGCCTGACTGAAGCAGAGTGGGCTGTCCCCGAAGCCCTGAGGCAGGACGGTCCAGGTGAGCTGTTGTGACTGGTGTCAGGGTCAGGCCAAGTGAAGCCAGATAGAGGGTGGGAGGAGGGGTGTCAGGGGGTGGTGAAAAAGGCATCTTGGAGATCGAGTACAGAATACTGAGCTGTGGAGGGAGGAATTGAGGACAGGAGAGTATATGGATTTGGCACTACAGGATGGATGGGAAGGACAATTTGATTGATAAGCTAAGGTCTTGGACTAGCCGGTAGGATGTGTCCGGTTCCTGGACAGGGAAGATAGGAGAGTCGCAGGAGAGTCAGTAGGCTTTAGGAGACTATGTTGTAACAAGCAGGTGATAACAGGTTTTGGTCCGCTTAGAGCTTGTGGAGGAACGGCGTATTGGCGTTGGGCAGGGCAGGGGTGATTGGGTTTTGGGAGATAGTGGCAGGTGCATGGTCGGTTGCTGAGGACGGAGTAGAGGTGTCCCAGACCTGTGGGCTGAGGTGAGATGTGATGGGAGGCTGCGCGGTAGGCTTTGGGTCAGGTAAGAGAGCAGCTACGAGATGTGGCTGTAGTCCTGGAATAGTCAGGGTAGCAGCTAATTTAGTTAAAATGTCTCGCCCTAATAAGGGAACAAGGCATGTGTGGATGCCCTGTTCTAGGGGCATCTCACTCCAGGAAGGAGTAAAGGAGTGTTGCCCAAGCTGACACCAGAGTTGAGGAGTTTTGAAAGGTTTTGAAGCCTGGCCATCAATTCCCACAACAGTTATAGGGGCCAAGGAAACAGGCCCTTGAAAAGAAGGTAATGTGGAGTGGGTAGGGCCTGTATCAACTAAAAAGGGGATGGACTTACCCTCCACGGTAGGAGTTACCTGAAGCTCGGCGTCCGTGGTGGTCCAGGAGGCTTCCAAAGCAGTTGGGCAGCATCAATCTTCAGTTGTTAAGCCGAGAAGTTCTGGAAAGGAGTCAGCTGGAGAATATTGGGTTTGAATTCCAGGAGACTTGGAAGTGGCTGTAATATGAGCCAGACAGTCCAATTTCCACAGACAGGACATGGCCTAGAGGGGGCCCTGGGCTGTAGCACTCGTTAGCCCAATATCCAAGCTTTTGGCATTTGAGGCAGGATGGAGTCCCAGGTTGTGGGCACTCCCTGGCCCAGTGGCCAGTCTTCTGGCATTGGAAGCAAGGCTCTGGAGGAGGACAGCCTGATGGAGCACCTGATTGCAGTCGCCTCGGTGCCTGGAAGTTCCTTGTCATTGCAACAGTGGCTGGGTTTGTCTTACCAGGGAGGCAAGCAGTTGCAGCTCTGAGACGCGTCTCCACTTGGCTGCCTCCTCCCTATTGTTAAACACCTTGAAGGCAAGGTTGATTAATTTCTGTTGTGGAGTTTGAGGGCCAGAGTCGAGTTTTTGAAGTTTTTTCCTAATGTCTGGGGCAGATTGGATAATAAAATGCATATTGAGAATAAGGTGATCCTTTGGTCCCTCTGGGTCTAGTGCTGTGAAGTATCTAAAAGTTTCTGCTAGGCGGGCCATGAATTGGGCAGGATTTTCATGTTTGCCCTGGGTTGTTTCTTTAAACTTGTCATAATTAATGGCTTTGTAAGCTGCCTGCTTAAGTCCCTTAACTAAGCAAGAGACCAGCTTGACAATGTCAGGCAAGCCCACTTGGTATTGTCATTCGGGTTCTTCCCCAGGTACTGCTCTGATGCCCTCTTGGAGGGCTGGCTCATGGCATCTCCAGTGTCAGCATAAGATTGAGCCAGAGCATAAATCCCATTTCGTTCATCTGGAGAAAGAGTAGAGGTTAGAATGACATTTAAGTCATTCCAGGTTAAATTGTAGGACTGAGTTAGATATTGCAATTCTTGGATCTATTTAGTGGAATCTAATGAGAAAGATCCCAAGCGCTGACCAATTTGGGACAGATCGGACAGAGAAAAAGGAACATGCACCCTGACTTTGCCCTCGGCTCCAGCCACCTCTTGAAGGGGAAACTGTTGGACAGGGGAAGGAGAGCTAGTTTTAAGGCTGAATTGTGTCCCGGAGCGGGTATGGGATGGAGAAGTGACAGAGGAGGTATAAGAGGGAGGGGATGGGACGGTGGGGAGATTAGGGTTCAGTTTGGCCTGATGAGGGGCAGCCTGAGGGAGAAGGGAGAGGTCAGAAGGGTCTATTGACAGTGAAGAATCTGCACTGGCAGTAAGGACAGGGGGCACAGGTGGGAGAGAAAGAAGGAGAATTTGAGAGGGGTCACATTGGAAGCAGAGGCCAGGAAGGGAGTGAAGTGTGAAAAATCCCTGCACTAGGGGACTTCAGACCATTTGCCCATTTTACAACAAAAGTTGTCTAGATCCTGCAGGATAGAAAAACCAAAGATGCCATTTTCTGGCCATTTAGAGCCATTGTCCAATTTATACTGTGGCCAAGCAGCATTGCAGAAGAAAACAAGACACTGAGGTTTTATGTCAGGTGATAGCCAGAGAGGTCTGAGGTTTTTAGAACACAGGCTAAGGGAGAGGAGGGAGGAACAGAGGGCGGGAGGTTGCCCATAGTTTAAGAAGAGCGGCGGAGACAAGGAAAGTGAGTGCGGGACCAAGCAGCTTAGCAGGCGGCCCAGGCTAAACCTTGGTTTGAACCTGGGGTGAATCAGTCAAAGGGGGCATCCCTGCGTTGATCCATCACCTATGAGTGCGAGTGAATGACCAGAGCAGACATCTCCACAATGGTCAGTCACTAAAGCAAACAAGCACAAGTGAGTGAGCAAAGCAGATGCCTCTGCAATGATGTCACTGAGGGAAGGCTGTCCTCCTGGTTCTAAGACCTACATAGGATTTTTTCCAGTCACGAACCTCATGGAAAGTCCTGTCTTTCTTGTATCCACTGAAAGGGAGAGGAAAATGAAACTGGAAGGAGAAGGAAGCTGACAGGTAGTGAGAAGGGCAAAAGAGAAGAGTTGAGGCAAACCACTTACCTGATCTGAGGATGGTGAGTGGATGCGCGGGCTGGTCTGATGGGCCTACGTCATAGGTAGGTCTCTTCACGGAGCGAGCACAAGGGGTAGGGACGGGGGTTTGGCTGCCTGTAGCAGTTCCCCCATCCCGGGTTTTGGCATCAATTGTCAGTGTGTCACTCATGTAAAGAGACCACCAGGCAGGCTTTGTGTGGGCAACAAGGCCGTTTATTTAATACTTAGGTGCAAGCAGGCCAAGTCTGAGAAAGGAATTAGGCAAAGAGGTAGGAGAGGGGACTGGTTATGTGGGTTGGGGCAAATGGTCAGCTAAAGGTGGTAATCTATCTTAGGGAAGGAAAGGAGGTCATAGGATGCATGATTATAAGGGTAGGGGTCGGTAATCTATCTTGGGGAGGGGGAGGGCGTCACAGGATGCATGATCACAAGGGTAGGGGTCATTTATTACAAACAGGCATGATCATAAGGGTGGGGAGTATCGGCTGCAATCAGAGGGGAGGGTGCAGTAAATTACATCGTTACAGGGGTGGGGGTCTTGAAAAACCCAATGTCCTGTGGGGGGGTGGTGATTTTTGCAAGGCTGAACAGGAACAATGGTCGCAGGTTGCAGCAATTCGTTGAGGCAGGAACAAGTTGTTTTACTTCTTTCTGTGGCCAACTGGTTACCTGTGGTTACTTCAGACTTCCTGGCTTCTGGCGACCATCCAGAGGTGTACGTGTGGGTCACCAGTGCTATTGTGGCCAGGCTTGGACTTGGAGGCCTGACACTAAGCAGGTAAAGGGCTCCACAAGGTGAACTGTCCAAGGTCACAGGTGTCCAGTGCCCTTCAGATTTGGCTGAGGCTCTGTGCAAAACAGCGTTTTTCCTGGGTGGCAAACACCATACTTTGATCCCCAGCTGTTCCCAGGAACCAAAGACACTTCCCCTGGGGAGGGAATAGGAGACTGTACAAAATGACAGAGCCTCCAGCCAACCAGAGGTGGCTTACTCAGACCCACCCTCTTCCAGGGTGTTGCCAGTTCCACTCGCACCTTGGGGCCAGCTTCCCAAAAAGGTCCCACGCCCGGCAGGTCCCTTGCAGGCAGTCCATCCTGACTGCTCCTGTGAGTGCAGCTCCTGAGGCAGAGGGGCAGGAGCTGCTTGGTCCACCTGACTGCTCCTGTGGGTGCAGCTCCTGAGGCAGACGGGCAGGAGCTGCTTGGTCCACCTGACTGCTCCTGTGGGTGCAGCTCCTGAGGCAGACGGACAGGAGCTGCTTGGTCCAGATTTGCAGGAACAGGCCATTTCTTCCCTGGCTCTGAGCTGGGAAAGTTTGCTCCCAGCCCTCCTACCAGCGTCCCCATATGGCTCTCGAGGGACTCAGGTGAGTGGGGACAACGGTTTGGAGAGGAAGAAAGTGTGGGGACAGCTGAGCTAAGACGGATCCAGTCTGATGGCCAAAACAATACCAAGGGAAGGTGCCAGAGCCAGCCCTGGAGTATACTAGCTGAGCCTCTGGTCTGGGGGAAAGGCGGCTCCAAGAGGGGACGTTGCCCTAGGAGAAGAAAGACAATCCATGTGGATGGACACTGGGGTGGGGAAGGCTGTATTCCACAAGATTTTGTAGCCAACAAAAAGTTGGATTTCTCTTGCTTCTCTTAATGCCAAACCCCCTCGGTAGCCAGAAAGCAAAGGACCAGGGGCATATTCCCTCCCCCACTGTAACTGAGAGCTCCCTCTATCCCCATTGGGACTGATGGTCCAGGACTAGGAACCTGTGCCCCCTTAAGACCTACTGACTAATCTTTAACCCTTTCTTGAAGGCAAGGAGAGTGGGAAGCAGGACACAGGGTAGAGCTTGACGGACCACCTTCTGCAGGTAGTATCTGAACAAGAAATGTGGAGGAGTGGGCCGGTCAGGGGCCTTGACAGACTAAGAGCTCCCAGGCCAGGGGATGGGAGGGGCAGGAGGAGCTGGTGGGTCCTACCCAGTCCCAGGCCTGACCACAGGAGTTCACAACTGCCTGTGTGCCCTGGCTGAGGCCTAGAGCACAGAATAAGCATAGGTTTGCCCTACCCTGATTGGGAGAGGCTGGTGAAGAGGGTGGGATAGCCACAGAGGGAGAGAGAGTCCCTCCGGCCTTTTCCTGCTCCTGTGGCACCTTACGCAGCATCTCGCCTACCTCCCACAGTGCACCTCCCGAGGCAGCCTTGCCAGCTGCCAGTATGGGGTTTGACCAGGCTTCTAGGAACTGGAGAAGCCCAGCTGCAGCCAACCCTCCAGGAGCTCAGACAGGAGCCGAATAATAAGTGGGGAGGGGAGAAGCCAAGCCCATGGGGAGAAATAACAGGGTTGGGAACCTTGTGAGAGGAGCCTCAGGGCTGAGGCAGGCCCAGGTCAAATGGAGCCCAAATGCCATGCTGGAAGCTCTGGCTGGGGGATCTGACTGTCCTACTCAAAGCCCAACCCCAACCCTTACCCTCCATGCAAATGCCTTGGTGTAAAGTGTGTACAATAGGAACAGCAAATGCCTATTGAAGGTGCACCCTGTGAACTTGCAGTAGGTTGGAGGCTTTTACCTAAAGAACACAGATTCTTATTGGAGGAGAAACACACTATTAGTTGATCCCCAAAGGGTAGAACCAGGGACTGGAAAGCCTGGTGTCCCAGGAGGCAGGGAATGGCTAGCAGGACCCTGAGCTGACAGGGAAGGAGGAGGGTGCTGAGGTTGGGGAGCCCCCAGGCAAGAACATCCCATGTGCTGCCTCCTCTCCTGCTGCTGGAGTGCAGGCCACGTGCACAGGTGCGCCACTGGCCTATAGGACTCTAGGTAGTTCCTTTTACTTTCTGGACCTTAATTTTCCCTTTATGGAAGAAAATGAAAGCCAGGCCCCGCCTGAGTTTATGTGTACAGCAAAGAGGGGGGGAACCAAACCTACTCCTAAAAGAACATATGGTGCATCTGATTCACACCAATAAGGCTGCCCAGCCTTGCAGAGGTGAGCTGTCAGTCAGATCTGCTCCAAGCCTCTGCGAGTCCTCTCTCACACAGTGACCCTGGCCCAGCCCTCTTGCTGAGTGCTGCCCTCAGGTATTATGTGTCCTCTGGACAGTGGTGTCCACTTGGGTGTCCTGACTCAGTACTTCTCAAGCTGCAATTTGCATTTCCTTCATTTTCTGTGTTCTCAGCGATTGATCCCAATGACCCAAGTGGGACCTCTGCTCTATCCCGTGAGCAAGTGCAACCCTAAGCAAGTGATTTAACCTTCTAAGCCTCAGTTTCCTCATTTATAAAGCACACATAAGCAAAGCATCTCCTTCAAGGGGTTGTGGTGTGCTTTCAACAGGACAGGCACATAGAACACTTGGCCAAGTGTCCATCTCAGTAAGTGTCTGGGATTATGCATAAGGAATGCAGACATAATCCTGAAGAAAATAGTTTTAAGCAAAGGAGTACCAGTCAATTTGGAAGAGAGAATGAACACAAATAACTCATTCATCATTTCATTCATTTGCTGAACAAGTAATTATCAACAGCATGAATTATAAGGCAGTTCTGGGAGTTGGCACCAGGAAAACAAAGGCTGGCAAAACAGAGAAACCTGGAGCCTAGTGTGGTAGAGAGTCCCTAGCATCACTTGGCAAGTACTGGAGGAGAGGTCTGGAAAAGGGACAGAGGGACATGCTGGGGGAGGGACCTAAGATGAGATATCAAGGCTGGCTTCAGACAGGAGGAAGCTGGGTGCTAAGGAATAATGTGGAACTTGTTGGCCAATGGCAGGAAGAGAGCAATCAGAGTGGAATACAGAAGTGGGGAAGCCTAGGAGACTTCATGATAAAGGGTGAAGAATGCAGACCGGGAGGCAGGGTCGGGAGACTGTTACAGGAATCCAGATGAGAAACAAGCAGGCACCAATAGGGCAGTGAGGGAGGCCAGGAGGAGAGCTTTGGGCACTAGGAAGGAGGCAGAAGCAACAACTTGGCTGTCGGGAGAAAGCAGGGGTCCCACTTGGGTCACTGAGATAAATCACTGAGAACACAGGATGGGGAGAGTGAGTGGGAGGATGGGGGAAGATTGAGTGGGGGGGACAGGGGAGAGTGAGTGGGAGCACCCACAGGGTTTACTGATGAGCTGCACGTGGGGAATTAAATTATTTGTAACAGTATTTTTATTTAACCCAGCACATCCAAATTTACACCTGTTTCACTGTTTTAATGTGGCTACTAGAAATGTTTAAATTACATATGTGGCTCACATTATACTTCCACTGGATGATGCTATTCTAGATCTCTTCCTATGCATCATGAAAGAATGCTGCTCTGCATGCCTGTCAAGGCTCGGGGGCACGGGCACAGGCACTTCCCCCTGCCAGAAGCAAAGTCTGCCTCTCCATATTAGTGCACCTTCCTTTTCACCTTAACACATTAGGGTCTCTTTTCCAGAGAGCACAAATAAATGTACCTCACCCTTTTTAATAGCCATGTTGATCTCTATTATGCAAGTTGAGTACCCCTCATCCAAACATCTGAAATCCAAAACACTCTAAAATCCAAAAATGTTTGAGCACTGACAGGACATTCAAAGGAAATGCTCCCACTGGAGTATTTTGGATTTCTGATTCCATATTAGGGATAGTCAGTAAATACAATGCAAATATTGAAAACACCAAAAAAGTCTAAAATCCAAAACACTTTTGGTCTAAACTGTTGGATAAGGGATACCCAACCTGTACAGATAGGCCTAATTCATTCATCCAGTTCCCTACTGATGAACCTGAGGTTGAGGCATGAGTTTACTTTTTCAGACAAGGCTACAGGAACATCCTGGGACTACTCACTGTGGAGTCTCCATTCCGAGCTGCAGGCACACTGGCCAGGGGCTGTGGGCACTGACAGTGTTACAGTGGAGAGCCCGGACTTGGAAGGCTTCTCGGGCATGGTTAAGAGATGTGGATGGTGTCCTGCAGTCAGTAGGAAGTCACAAAATAACTTAATTTTTTTTAATTGCTGACTTTGAATTTTTCCTTCATTAAAAAAGCAACATATTGTAAATACATTACAGACAATTGGGGAGAAAATAAGAAACCATAATTTTATTGGACAAATACATTCTTCCTTTTAGTCTTATTTTCTGTACATGTTTTTATTCTTGCTAAATTGTAATCAGAGTGCACATCAATTTTAGATCCTGCTTTGTTCCTTTAATGTTCCTGTGTGAGCATTTTTCTACGTGACCACAGAATCTTCCTAACATGTTTATTTAGCCAGTCCCTTCAGCTAGACACTAGAGTCTTCTTCAGTTATGTTTGAGCAGCTCAGATGATGCCTCTGCCTGTGACCCAAAACGCCTTCTCTAAGGGTGCTTTCCTGGCAGCATTCAACCAACCTCAACTCTCACTTGTGTAAGGGAAACAAGAACACATCCATCAGTACAACCCCGTCCCCTCTAGCCGCCATACTGTCTCTTTCCTGTGACAGCCCGACTTCTGGAAAGACAGCCCCACTCCCACCCCACCCATGTGCCCCTCCTTAAGTCCTCTACCTGCTCATTCTCCCTCCCATTCCCACCTGGTCTGGGCCTGGGCCCTAGCCTCCTCTCTCTCTGGACTCTCTCCCATGACATCCTGGCCCTCCTGGTAAATCATAAAACTTTCTCCTGAGCCTGCCTGCCTTCTGGGCTTCAGCCCCCTTCCTCCAACCAGACTACCAAGCATCTTCTTTGTGGTACCCCCGCCCCGTCCCTCTAATCCATGGCCAAGTCTGGCCCATGTGCCCTCCTAGACAGCCCTTCACCTATTCCTCCCCATCCAGCTGCCAACACCTTGCTGTTGCTCCTAATGCCTCCCAGGGGCTGGCACCTAACTTATCTTCCTGCCTCCAGCAGTGCCTTCCCTGCCACCCCACCATGGCCAGGCTCCAGATTTCAGTGGGAATACTTTAGGGGTGTTTGTGTGTCTGTGTGTGTGTTTTCAAATAAAAATGTGACTGAGTCACTCCCTAGAGGAAATACCTGTTCCCCTGAAGTCCAATCCTCCGAGCCTGAAATTCGGGCCCCGGGTGACCTGGCCCCGGCTCACCTGTGCACCCTACTCCCTCCCTTCTCGTCTGCTACTACTCTCCACCCTGCAGTTCACAGACATTCCAGGAGTGAGCATTCCTCGCTTCTGCACATTGTGGTTTCTTTTTCATGGACTGCTCTTCCCCCTCCATGCTTCCTTCACCTGAAGAACTTCTATTAATAATTTTTTAGGTCCCAGCTTAGAAGTACCTCCTCCCCCAGGAGGCCCCGACTTCCTCCTCATCTACCAAGACTCAGGTGCTACCCTCCAATTTGCCTCACAGCATCTGGTATTTTTCCCAATCACAGAATTCATTGTGCTGTGTTCCATGCATCTGTTTTCAGTCTGTCATGTGACCCAGTCCCTCACCCCTCCCCCACTACACCCACATCTTCCTGGCTCCATACCCTGAAGACAGGGTCTGTGCCTCATTGACCTCTGAATCCCCAACTTAGCATAGTGCTTGAGGCTGAGCTTGTGTCCAATAAACATATTTTGAATTCAGAACTAAACAGAAACTGATGAACATCTTGATGCATAAACTTTTCTCATTCTGAAGATTATCTCCTTTGAACAGATTCCCAGAAGCTGGGAATTATTGAATCAAAGAATATTAAACACTTTCAATTCCCATAGCTACATAGCTTTCCAAAAGGCTGTGGCAATTTACACTTCCACCAGCAAGTCTAAGAGTGCTGATTTCACTGCATTCTTGCACCTTGGCTATTCTCATTATGGCTTTTTTTTTTTTAAATTAAGACAGGTTCTCCCTCTGTCACCAGGCTGGAGTCCAGTGGCATGATCATAGCTCACTGTAACCTATAACTCCTGGACTCATGCGATCCTCCTGCCTCAGCCTCCTGAATAGCTTGGACTATACATGTACACCATCTGGCTAATTTTTAATTTTCTGCAGAGGCAGGGTCTTGCTGTGTTGCCCCGGCTAATCTCAAACTCCTGGCCTCAAGCAATCCTCCTGTCTTGACCTCCCAAAACACTGGGATTTCATGCACGAGCCCCTCCCAGCCCCATTCTGTCTTTTTTTAAAGTGCTCATTTTACAGGCAAAACATACCACCACCTTGTTCTAATTTGTATGTCTTTGATTACCAGTGAGGGTGAACATTTTTCCATATATTTGCCTACTAAATGCACTTCATTTTTGAGGATTTACCTGTTTGTGTGACATGGAACCTGTTAAGGCAGGCTGACTTGTCATGAGGTGACTCTGGGGCTGTGGAGGAAGTGACTGGGAGCATGAAGAGTGCTGCTGCAATGATCCCATGATGGAGGAGCAGGCCAGGGTCACTCTGGGCCATGAGGAAGAGCAGGAGGGACAGACATCAAGGAGACCAGGTCAACCTGGGACTGACAGCAGACAGCAGGTGCAGAGCAGGAGGGGTGAGGGCGTACCCAGGTTTCCGGCTCGGCGCAGTGAACTGGAGGAGGTGCTGTGCTTGGAGACGGTGCGCAGGTGGATCCACACACCTGCAAGGCAGTTCTCAGCACCCTTCACTAGACACACCTGCCGAGGAACAGTTACCTGGGGCAGCAGGAGAGGCAGGGGCAGGAGGGTCTGAGGCAGGCAGGCTTCTTGAAAGAGACCAGGGGCGCCAGGTTTTGAAAGGATTTGTAGGGCAGGGAGTGGAGTCAGGAGGCTGCCCAGGGGACGATCAGGGTGTGCTCAGGAAGAAAGGTTATCATGAGCTAAAGCTGAGTGAGCTATCGAAACATAAGAGGCCTTGTTCTCATTGCTTAGCTTGTGTGAATGCAATGACAGCCCTAAAGCAGGTAGTGTTCTTAATATCCTCATCCTACAGATGACACTGATGTGCAGAGGACCAGACCAGATGTGCAGGATTAGACCAGCTAATGAGTGGTAGAGTTAGGATTTGAACTCAGGGCTCTGGCCCCTGTGTCTGTGCTCCTCACCATGTGGCTGCAGTTGCTCTAGATATGTGAGCACTCAGGAAGGCTGGGGACAGTGGAACGAGCTCCCCAGAAGGAGCTTATTAAGATTCTCAGCATTTGGGGCCCTTCCTGGAAAACAACGAACTGTGGACAAATCCCAAAGCCCACCTCCTCTGAGCCAGAAACGGCTGCTGAGCTCTGCTTGGAGGAGTTCACCTGGCCTGGTGACTGGAGCCACCACAGACACATGATCTCTGACCACAGCCAGCCCAATAATTCTTCTCTAAGCCCCAGACAGCTCTTAACCCTCAGTTACTGAGGTGGGAGGATTGATTGAGAGAGCTGCCAAGTTGGAGACAAGGCTGAGCAACATAGCAAGACCCTGTTTCAAATAAAAAACAATTAGACATCTATAGTCCCAGCTGTACAGAAGGCTGAGGTGGGACGATAGCTTGAGCCCAGAAGTTTGAGGCCACAGTGATCTGTGATCACATCACAACGCTCCAGCCTGGGTGACAGAGTTAGGCTGTTTCTAAAACAAAACAAAACAGAAAAACGAAAAAAACTCCCCATCACTGAGCCACAAACACCTGTGCGTCCTCTCCCGGCCTCTCCTGTCCAAGGTCAGTCCCACCCTCCACTCAGGATAAGCACCTCAACCCCTAATGTTATCATCCCCACAACCTGCCCAAGGTCATGCCCTGCAGCACTGCTGAGGAAAAGAGAGGATCAGGCATCTAAAGGTTCATCCTAAGTGACCTGGTTAGGTACTGTGGAGGCCAAGGCAACTTCATCTTGGAAGCTCATCCGTCATGCTGGTTTCTGATTAACCCGGGTTTCAGGAAGCTCCCTAAGATTTCCAGCGTATCCACTGTTCCTTGTGTAAGATCACATACTTACTATACATCTTGCCCTTGGGTCAAAACAAATCTGATGTTATCATACTTCACTTGTCCTACACATCCCTTCTGAAGCACATGCACCCTCTCCCTGTGGTATATAAGCCCTGGGTCTGGGGGCCTATAAGGTTTATGGATGTGCTTTGGTCAAAGAATAGGCTGAGGCAGACATCCAGGACAGAGTGACTCAGTGAGTTTAGGGCACAGGAGCATATTCCACTTGTTATGTAACCTGTTCAAGTTCATACTTGGCTCTGGGCCAGTGTTGTCCACAGAAGGTATAACTGCCCTGCTGTGCATGGGGCTCGGTTCAGTGCAGCAAGGCATTGCATGGCACAGTTCGTGCACGTGCCCAGAGAGGGAATAACACTACTAACTCCTATAAGGGAGAGCCGGTCTCCTTGAAGGTGGGCAGGGGGAACCAGGAACTGGCTTGTGCCTAAGGGGAAAGAGTTAAGCTGCTGACCCTGACAGAGCTGGCCTTGCAGGCCAGGGATTACAGCTGCAGACATAGGGGCGGCAGGAGCCTCAGAGCCAGCTGTTGAGAGGAGCCACAGTGCTGGAGCAGATGGCCAAGATCAAGGTGGACAGTGAGAGAGCCAGTGTGAGTAAGCTGCTGATGAGAGAGCTGCTGAATAAAACTATGTATCACCTGCCTACAGCCCCAAACTGTTCTTTCAGCTCTTCGCCCATCCACCCACTCCCCTCAGACCTCAGCTGGGGCTGAAACCTGACAAGGGCGTAGTCATGGCATAACAAGGGTCATGGCTCGGGGATCCACCATCTGGTCTCACAGCCACCCAAGCTATTTAAATCCCTATTAAATGTTTCTTTCTAAGAAGCTGGACTTGACAGCCTCTTCCTCTGGCCTCTCAGCTTTCTAAGACTTTGGGGGCAGGTTTGCAGGGGCCTGCCCCATGTGAAACAGGTAAATTATGCTGTCTCCAATCTGTATCACCCTTGGCAGCTGACAAGGGTGAGGAAATTCTCTGAGCACTGAGATGAAATAGCCTCGAAGTGGAAAATGAAAGGTTCAGAACATTGTGTCCACTGTGCTACCATTTGTGGTGGGGCAGGGGAGAAGAGAGAGTATTTGCTACCATATTTATATTTGCATACACATTGCATAGACACGTATGCATAGACTGTCTCTTGAAGGACACACAAGAAACTGGTAACACTGGACACTTCCATGCAGAGGAACTGGATGGCCGGAAGTAGGAAAGACTTTTCATGTATGTGTGTGTATAAATATGTGTATCTACACATATACATGAGTTGCCGATGCCCCCCTCCACTTCCACCCCCAGAGCCTGGAAGAGAATTTTCTGGCGGCAGATCTTACTTGCACTTGGCCTCTTAGGCCTGTTCCTGTGTGGCCTCCCTAAATTCAGGTACAAGCCCCTTTCCCCAGCACTTGAGGTGGGACCACAGAGTCAGGGTTAAAGGGGATCTGTCTAAGTGTCTCCTTGATGGATGGAGGGTGGTGGCTAGCTCAGTTCAAGTGTCCTTGTGAGCCCTCTCTCCTTGTAATAAACAAAGCCAGAGGGCTCCTGGGCAGGCTGACATGCTTCTCATGGCTGCCCACCCCCTGCCACAGACATCTGGAAACCTTCATCCCCATGGGTGTCTGTCCTTCAGCCACAGTGTCGCTGCTGAGAGACAACTTCACAGGTGCCCTGCATCCCTGGTAAGAAGCTCCTATCCCTCCCACTTCAAGAGTACCCCCAAACCCTACAGAGCTCTGCCCCATGTCCCTGCCCTCCTCACATCTCCCACCCCAGCAGAGCCAAGCACTGCTCCACCAAACCCAGCAGCCCCCATCGGGCTATACGCTTCCCAGTCCTCTGTGTTGCCCTGAGCTGGAGGCTTCCAGGTGCAGCAGCTAGGTATCATCCGCCTGTGGGTCCGTAGGGCTCAGCACTGGGGAGGTGGCAGTGAGCATACACCAAGCAGATGGATGAATGAAGCTCTTTCCCATCCCTGCCCTGGCCAGGGCCCGGCCTGAAGTTCTGACCTGCACCCCCTGGGGGGCTCCCATTATTTGGGATGGCACTTTTGACCCAGATGTGGCCCAGCAAGAGGCTAGTCAGCAGAACCTCACCATTGGGCTGACTGTCTTTGCTGTAGGCAGGTAAGGCCTGGGAAGGGGAGTGGTGCTGTCAAGGCTGGGAGTGGGAGGGGTGTGCATGTGATGGAGGAGGTGGGACACCCTGCTCCCTGTGCCGTGGGATCCCAAAGTGAAGTGAGAAGCAAAGACAGCACTTCTTGACCCATGCCCCCAGGGTAAGCACAGGACCATCCTTCTCCTCCCTAGACACCAACACCATAGAGCCCACCCAACACAGGCAGCCAGGGGTGTTCTAGAACCACATCTAGAAGGGACCTGCTTAGGGGCTGGGACTGATCCATCTGGAGGCACTGGTTTCGTAGTGAGAAAATGATGGGGTCTTTCAGATGAGAGTGGTGGGAGGAGGGCGGTTTCACTGGTAAGTAGAGGAATGGTTCACCACGGCAGGTGCCCAATGGAGGTCAGCAGCTCAGGTGCAGGTACACAGGATGGGAGGGGGGTGCCAACCAAGTCCGATGGAGGGAGAGGGGCTGGGGAACTGGAGGATTGCAAGGGAGTGAATCTGAACTGGGCAGAGGGAGTAAAGAGGAGGGGGATGACAAATACTGAGAAAGTGGCAGGGTCACCAGATGGAGGATTCAGTGAGGTAGGACTGTTTTGGGCAGGGTTGTGGTAATCACAGTAAGCAAGATAGAGAAACGAGGTCCTCACATGGTCACTCTCTCGACTTGGTCTTCATCAGTGTCTGTTCCACTCTGTTCCTTTCCTGCAGAATCACTGCAGGAAAGGAGGTCATGAGAAGAAATGGCAAAGGCACTGACCTCCCCACTATGGATGACAGGGAGTGTCTAAGCTGGGTGTCCACCTTCCTGAAGTGACACGAAGGGGACTCTTGGCAGTCAGATCCTATAACCTAGTTTCAGGCAACTAAAAGAAGCATTTCTAAAAACGGAACCAGTTGCTTTGGGAAGGTGGTGAGAGCCTCCCACTTAGGAAGAGATACTCAAAAAGGATGGGGAAGGAATTTTGTTACCAGATACCCCAGACAACCATTCAAGGCTCCTCCAACTCTGTCCCCCACACCCTACAAGCGACAGAAAGCCAGGAGTGTCGCTGACAGGCAAGGGGATGAAAAGGACCAAGGTGTGAACCTCGGACCAGGTGGGCAGAACTGCTGGGCCACTTGGACCTTGGCCTCTCCCAGGACCTCGGTGTTTCCACTTCCATCACACATGCTGAGTTCCTGCCTCACCCCTAGGGGTCAGACACTCAATGTACAGAAAATTCTGGGATCCTGAGGTCCTGAGTTCCAAGATTCTGAGTCCAACACCCTGGGATGCTGAGATTGCCCAGGTCTCTGATTCCCATTTCCCACAGTCACCAGGAATAGACCAAGTGTAAGTAAAGGTACAGGCTCCAAGGCCAAGCTGGGTCCAAATCCAGGCTCTACCACTTACCAACGGTACATACAAGTTTCTAACGCTCTTTAGATAAGACAGTGCACGTTGACTTAGAAAGCAGTGGCTGCCACATGATCAAAGTTCTAAGTACTATTAGATACTGTTACTATTATTTTAAAATCCTAAGATCCCAAGGTCTGTTCATACAGTATTCCAGGCAGCCTCATTATTGATGTAGTGAAAGACATTCCATGACTTAAAACAGCTTATTATTATAGCCCCTATAATAATTCTGTGGAGGGCCAGGCGCAGTGGCTCTAGCCTATAATCCCAGCACTTTGGGAGGCCCAGGCGGGTGGATCACCTGAGGTCAGGAGTTCAAGACCAGCCTGGACAACAGGGTGAAACCCTGTCTCTACTAAAAATACAAAAAATTAGCCAGGTGTGGTGGCTGAGGCCTGTAATCCCAGCTACTTGGGAGGCTGAGGCAGGAGAATCACTTGAACCCAGGAGGCAGAGATTGCAGTGATCTGAGATCGCGCCACTGCACTCCAGCCTTGGCAACAAGGGCGAAACTCCATCTCGAAATAATAATAATTCTGTGGGTCAGGAATTCAGACAGGGCTCAGCAGGAAGGGTTCCTCTCCTCATGCTCCCAAATGTCTGGGTCTCAGCTGGGAGACCAATTGCTGATGACTAGTGGGGCCAGCTTGGGCCTCCTAACTCACGGCAGCACCCAAGTTATGGCACTTCTTAAAAGGAGGCTCAGAGCTCTAAAGAGAGAAATGCTGCCAGTCCTCCAAAGGGCCAGTATGAGGCAGGAGTGGCAGGCAACTTGCAAGCATCCTCAGCCCAACCTGCCCTGCCCCATCTAAGTTGAAAGATGCTATGGTTGGAGGGTCTGGAGGACCAGGCAGCATGGGTGGGGTGCGGGTGAGGTGGGTGAGGTTAGGGTGGGGGTGAGGTGGGGTGAGGTGAGATTGGGGTGGGGGTGAGGGTTGGGTTGGATGAGGTGAGGATAAGGATTGGGTAGGGTGGAGGTAGGGGTGAGGTGGGGGTGAGGTGAGGTTAGCGTGGGGTGAGGTGGGGGTGAGAAGGGGCTGAGGGCTGGGTAGGTGGGGTGAGGGTTGGGTGGGGTGGGATGAGGTAGGGGTGGGGGGAGGGTTGAGATGGGACTGGGACAAGGTGGGGACGAGGGCTGGCTGTGGCCGGGGGGCGGCGT